GTTCACCGCTGATGCATCTATAGAAACCTCATTTTCAACTATTGCAGCCCTTAAGAAGTCCTTGAATCCTCTTCTTATGAGAGCAGCCATTTCGCCAGCGCCTAACCTCTGTAATTGTAACAGCTCATTTGCGTTATTTGGTAGCCTGCTTTGTAAAATCCTCTTAGCATTATAATATAAGTGTGATCACTTGGCTGTTTGCCTTTCATAGAGAGTCCAGCAAATGATTCCCTTGCAATGTCAACCTGTCCAGCCTTGAACAAACCATCAATTAGGACATTCTAATGGAAGATACCATGTTGAAAATGCTTTCTGCACTACTGCACTTTTGCATAAACCCTTCCATCAGAATCAAATAAGTCATCGAGTTTGGAACTTTTTTTTTAACAGCAAAGATTTTATTTTTTAGAGTACAATGGGTACTCCAACCCATAAATTATTACATCATATCTAAGTTCAAGTGTCTTTTGATAACTGAACTGCCTATACCCCTGTTCAGTTTATGTGCTACCCGCCGTATTTGAGATAGTCTTTTGGTGTTATTAGCCAATCTGTCAATCATCATGACCAGTTCTTGCTCTTCGCTTATCGAGTCTGGAACTTTAGCACAGTCAGCCATGTGCTTGAAAAGTTCCTGTGCTGTGCAAGGCCTTCTTTCTTGGAACGTGATCTTAATAAGGGTGTTGTTTCGGTACTGGGGTTTAATCCTTTATTAGATACCTCGTAAACAATTAAGTTTTATTGCCTCATCTATCCTTTTGGCTTTACATCCTTTGATCAACATGTCGACATAACCATGTATTGTTTTAGATGTAGTGGATACACAAACCTTGTTAATTATCGAATCAAACGTTTTTCCCTGCCTCATCAATTTCCTCACACCAACAATATTTATCCACCAATGCATAGTACATGAAAACATTAGGCTCAACACCTTGCTGAGTCATTGCTTCAATCACATCCTTGGACAATGCTTTTATCAACACACCCCAAGTGATATAATCTGGTTCCATTCCCCTACCAGCCATTTCCGCCAACAGATATGAAGCCTCCTCCCACATTCCAGAATTACAAATGGCCTGAGTCAACGAGCAATAAATATAAACACTTGGGAGTACCCCTTTACCTTTTATTTCAGAGAAGAGGTTCCAGGCCTCAGTTATGAGGCAATCCTTGGAAAGGCGCTCAATGACTAAGAAGTAAGCAAAACTGTCAGGCTGGAAACCAGCTTGTTCAGCATTGCGCAGCAACTTAACAGCCTCCCTAATTTTTCAACAGTACAATTGCATCATAAGTGACAAAATCGGGTTGACATCCATCCTGAACTATCTTATTAAACACCCACATTGATTCAAAAAGTTTTCCTTCCCAACAATACCCAAGGATGAGTAAGTTGAATGTTGTAACATCAGGTGGAATACTCATCTTCAACATTTTCCCGAGCGTAGAGAGCGCCAAATCCACCAAATAGTTACCACACAAGCAATTAACAAATTTATTAAACATCTCGACAGAAGTAGAGGGATCTTAACGGACCTTGCGATCATCCAATTTCAGCTTCTAAATGCTTTGATCAGAAAAATCAGAGTCTCTATTTTTTATTATAGACCCGGTCTTCTCATCAGGAATGATAATAGTCTAAAAAACAATAATAAGGAACCAAAGTAGATCTGACGTTACCCATTTGGGGAAGGCAAACAGCTGAAGCATAAGCTACAGAAGAAGCGAAAGCAGAAGCCGATAGAATAACACCTCTCCAAACTCCTCATCTTCACGGCAGCAGCAATCATCTCTTCTGACTGTTAGTCCGAGTTTGGGAATGGGGGGAAGAATGGGTCAATTAGGGTTCAAATAAATCCCGTACCTGCCCAACATTCAATGGTTAGATAATATTCTTCGGTGTTTCAATTTTTAATTTTTATGTTTCTGTTATTATTTTAAAAAATATATAAAATATTAATTAAAATAAATATTAGATGAGAAAAGAAAACATAAAAGTGTTTTAATATTAAAAATGTCATAATATTAAAGTTATGTCATTAATAATAATCACATAATAAATTTAATAAAATTATAATTCACATTATATTTTATACATTTAAATATTTAATAATTATGAGTTTAGCTTTTGATATTTGTAATAAAATGTCTTTTTTTTGTCATTTTAAATAAATTAAATATATAATTATAATTGTAATATTTGATATTTTTAATATTAAATTATTTTATCTTTTTTTAATATTAAATATATTTTATATATTTTTAAGATGTGAAAAAATTAACAAGTCAAAGGCCACAAGCAAAGACAAGGTTTGCTAGAGTTTCTTAGATTATTGATGAAGCTAAGGAGAAAAAAAAAAGACAATTTTGTGCTGAAAATAGATTTTGAGAAAGCATATGACAAGGTTTGCTGGAGTTTTTTAGATTAAATGTTGACGAGACTTAGGTTGAAAGAAAAATTGAGAGGATGGATTCAAGAATGTCTGACGACAAGCTTGCTCTCAGTTTTGGTAAATGGGAATCCTTCTAGATAGTTTGAGGTGTCCAAAGGATTAAAACAAGGAGACCCATTGTCCCCATTCTTATTTCTGGTGGTTGCTGAAGGTCTTAATGGAATTATAAAGTCAGTAGTGGAGAAAGATATGTTTGAAGGAATTGAAATAGGGCAGCAGGGAGTGAGATTTTCTCATATACAATTTGCAGATGATACCATTGTGTTTGGGAAAGCTACAAAGAAAAATGTTTGGACTGCTAAGTGTATTATGAGGATATTTGAGCTAGTTTCCGGCCTCAAAATCACTTTCACCAAAAGTCAATTAATTGGAATACATGTGAAGGAGGAGTGGTTGAACAAAATGGCCTGTTTGATGCATTGCAGGAGTGGCAAATTGCCCTTCAAATACCTTGGGGTGATGGTTGGGGGAAATCAAAGGAAATTGGAAATGTGGCAACCATTGATTGATCTATTCCGGAAAAAATTGGCTAGTTGGAAAAGAAGATGGCTATCTTTTGGTGGAAGAATCACGTTGATCAATTTTGTGCTCTTGACTCTCTCGGTTTTCCTTATGTCAGTCTACCTGGTACTTAAAGGTATTATTAAAGTTATTGATAAAATTAGGAGTAATTTTTTTATGGGGGGGTTACGGGGAAAGGAAAAAAGTCCATTGGGTTTTTTTTTTTTGAACAGCAATTTTTTTTTTGAACAGCAAAGAATATTTTTTATTATTAATTAATGGAGTACAAGGGGTACCCAACCCATCAACTTGACAATTTGAAAGTCATACAATTTGGATGTATGCAATAAAGTGTCGACACGAGATCCAGTGTGTCGACACTGTACCCGTGTCGGACTTTCTGCCTTCTGATGCAAAATCTTTATCCATCACTATACTGATGCAAAAACTTAATCAATCACTATATTGATCATTAAAAACATTTTTGCTAGCATCCCGCTATCACTCTGAGCATACCTTGACTGCCGCTTAGAACTCCAAAGACCCTCAATGCTTCAGGTACATAATCTGCAGTCAAAAATTGCTCAAAGAAGCCTTCTTGATCCAACAAAGATTTTCAACCAGGCAGTAATATAATTAACCAATTAGGTGAATGATCTTGACCTCCTTCGTTCACTGCTCCACCTCCATTTCAGATGACTTTCTCTTGAGATTCCTTCTACTGTCGCGATTAAAACTCAAACAGTTTACAGGATTCTGGATCCAATCAGCTATGGAGAAAAAAACTATCTCTCCTTTTGCCCTTAATCCAGCTGAAGGCCCTGATTTGGACCAGTTCAAACAACCTTCCACTATCCACCTCCTTCCCCCTAAACAATTTTCCATTCCTAGCCAACCAAATTGTCCATATCATTGCAAACCATATGCATTCCCATCCCTGCTTCATCCCCACTGTTTTCAGCATACTGGAATGTTGTTCAAAAAATCTCAAGCAATCTTTATCAGTTACTGTTTTAATTCCCCACCACTTGTAACAAGCTGTCCATAGATCACGTGCCACTTTACACTGAACGAAAAGGTGGTTGGAATTTTCCTCCCCTGCACCACATAATTCACATCTGCACTCGCTAGGGTCCTGAACCACGCCTCTTCAACAGATTATCCTTGGTTGGAATTTTACCTTGTAGCAATTGCCAAGAGAATGTTGAGATTTTACTCGGTATAAGTGGATTCCATGCTTTTTGTAGAACCAACCCCTGCTGGCTGTTTCTATGATCTGCTGCAAGTAACTGGTATGCTAATTTGGTCGTATAGCTACCATCTGTACTCTGAATCCATATCCTTTGATCTGGTCTTCCTCTTACGATTGTTATCTCGTTAATCTCCTTTAGGAGCTCCAGTTCCTGATGTTCTTCCCAACTAAATAGGGGCCTTCTCAATCGTAGACTCCACATCCAAGTGTCATTGTGCCAACCTCCCATTTGTGGGATCTTAAAGTCCTTTCCTACAGATAACAAGTACAATCTAGGATATTTGTTAGCTAAACACCCATCCCCACACCACTCGTCCCACCAGAAACTAATGTCTACCCCTTCCCCTAGTTTTAATTCCAGCCCATCCACTAACCATCCTTTCTTCTCATCATCTATATCATTCAATCTACTTAAGTCCCTCCACCAAGATGAGCCACATTTAATGTTCTCCCTCAACCAATTGAAGCTAGGTTCCCTTACCCGACCATACTTCTCTGCAATAACCTTTTTCCAGACTCCTTTATCTGCCATGACTATCCTCCCCCACCATTTTCCTAATAGGGCTATATTAAATTTTCTCAAATCCTTAACCCCCAAACCACCCTGTTTTTTATCTTTGCAAACATGTTCCCACTTCACCCAATTAATTTTCTTTTCTCCTGCAGCCCCACCCCATAGAAAACCTCTACGAATTTTATCAAGTGAATGAATCGTACCTTTTGGGATGAGATACACCGACATCTAGAACACAGGAAGACTGGATAGCACTGAATTAATAAGGGTAATCTGTCCACCAAGAGATAAGTACCGACCCTTCCATGCAGATAACTTTTTAGCAAATAGTTCCACTAACGGTCTCCAAAAGGCCTTCTTTCTACTACTTCCTCCAATGGGAATGCCCAGATATTTAAATGGAAAAACCCCAACTTTGCAGCAAAGCACCCATGACATTTTGTTGAGCCAACCCTCTTGCACATGTATGCCAATCAAATGACTTTTGTTGAAATTTATCTTAAGGCCCGAGACTAGTTCGAAAGCTCTCAAGACACCCTTCATTGCCCACACATTTTCCTCTTTAGCTGTAGCAAAAAGAATTGTGTCATTCGCGTATTGCAGGTGAGAAACTTTAAAACCTCTGCTCCCCACCTCTGCTTCGTCCAATAACCCTTTCTGAGATGCAGCTGAGACCAGTCCATTAAGACCTCTGCAATTATTAAAAATAGGAAGGGTGATAAGGGGTCCCCTTACCTAAGTCCTCTCGTCAAAGTGAACTGCCTTGTTGGGCTGCTATTTACCAGAATTGATACAAGATTTGTTCTCAGATATTCCATGATCCAGTTCCTCCAAATTACACAAAACCCCATCCGTTGCATCATATAATCTAAGAATTCCCAACTGACCTTATCATACGCCTTTTCAAAGTCGATCTTGAACAAGAATGTCTCCTTCCTCTTCTTCTTTACATCATCAATCACCTCATTTGCAACCACTACTCCGTCCATTAGTTGCCTTCCTCTAATAAATGCCATCTGTTGTTCACCGACAATCCCATCAAGGACCACCTTTAACCTGTTAGCAAGAAGCTTTGCAAGGATTTTATATATAACGCCGATGAGGGAAATGGGTCTATATTCCTCTATCTTCTGTGGGTTATCCACTTTCGGCACAAGGACTATGAAAGATGTGTTAAGTCCTCTAACTAGCTTGCCATTTTTATAGAAATCATGCAAGAATCTGATTACATCTACCCTTATTAGCTCCCACACATTCTTGACAAAGCCGAAATTGAATCCATCTGGTCTAGGCGCCTTTGAACTGTCACACTCTCGCACCGCTGCATCTATCTCTTCATCACTGAAAGCTCCAACCAGATGATCATTTTCTAATTGTGAAATCTGCTTAAAGCTCACCCCTTCTAGCTTTGGTCTGTCCCACTGTTCTTCTCTGAAGATGTCTTCAAAAAAGGAAGCAATCTCCTCCTTCATTCTACTAGCACACACAATTTGTGTTCCTTTGATTTGAATAGAAGTCATTTCATTCCTTCTCCATCTCCCCTTGACGCACTTGTGAAAGAAACTTGTATTGGCATCGCCGAGGGTCAACCATGTCTTTCTAGATTTCTGCCATAGCATACTTTCCTTGCTCTTCATGTTTTCCCATAGAAGTAAGAAATCCCCTCTTCTTCTTATGATTTCTTCCTCCGACAGCTGTACCTCTTCCCCCTTCTTATCAATTTGTGCTATCTCTATTGTAGCCTTATTTATTCTGGCATCAATATCTGGGAGGAGTGGTTTGCTCCACCTTTTCAAAGCTTCCTTTGTCAATTTCAGTTTTTCCTTAAGTTGAAACCCTGCCCATCCTTGGATGTTTGCCGACCCCCACACCTCTTTAATCAACTCCTTACAACCTTCTTGTTGAAACCATGCATTGAAAAACTTAAATGGCTTAGGCCCCCATTCAATATGCTTATGCCTGAGTAGGATTGGACAATGATCCGACACTATTCTACTAAGGCCCCATTGTCTAGCTTCACTCCACTTTGTCAACCACCCTTCCGATAGTAGAAATTTGTCTATTCTGCTCATACTGTTCCCATTAGACTGGTACCAGGTGAATTTTCTACCTACAAGAGGAATATCAACCAACTCTGTTTCTTGAATAAAGTTGTTAAACTCTCTCATCTCTATAGTAACTCCTCTGCTTCCCTTTTTTTCCTCTTCATTCCTAACTACATTAAAATCCCTTGCAATACACCAGTTGCTCTGTCTATCTAATACCAGATTTTTCAGCTCTGCCCACAAAACTCTCTTCCTTGCTAACTGGCATGAGGAGTACACATTTAAAATGAAGACAACAACCCCCTCCGGACCCCACACCCCTTCTATTCCTATAAAGTTCTCACCCTCTATTACTCTAGACATTGTGAGAGCTTTGGAATTCCATACACAGAGTATGCCTCCAGACAAACCACATGCATCCTTTGCAACCCAACCGAAGTCTTCAGTGCCCCACACCAATTTACATGTGTTTCTATCTATCCCTGTCACCTTCGTTTCTTGTAAAGCCAAAAAATCTATTTTTTCTTTACTCACTATATCCCTTAAAAGTCTCTTCTTACCAGCACGCCCCAAACCTCTAATGGTAAATGACAATATATTCATAATTCTGGCTCACTAACCTTCTGATTCTTCTTCGGATCTTTTGAGCAGTCCGCTTCCTTTGCTCTTTTGTCACGCATCTCCATCGTCAAGCTTGTTGATGATTTGTTCCTCATTTTCAGCAACAACCCCAATTTTTCTAGCAAAATCCCACAGCTCCTCTGCAATTCTGCGACTTGGGTGTTCCTTCAATAATCTATTTCGATTCTGTATACCACTATCTCCCACAGAACCCCCTGCGACTTCCTTGTTCAAGCCCGGCTGAAACTTTGGTATATCTTCACGCCGTGCTTTCTTCCCTTTTACTGCAGCTCTGTTCTTCTCCCTCTGCATCAAAGTTCATTGAAGACTTGCTTTTTGATACACAGCTTTGCACGACTTTGCTCTCTTCTTTTTTCTTTTTTTCCGATCCTTGTTACTTGCAGCCATCCACCCTTTTTCACTTTCTTCCTCACTTTGCAGATCTGCCCAGAACTCTCTGTTGGTTCCCAACGACCCTGCTTTTTTCTTTTGCCTCTGCTGCTGTTGTTCACGCTGCGGTATAGGTTCTAGCTCAATTCTAGACTCATTTACCATACTTATGGTTGTATCCTTCAACTGGTCAGCCCATATCTGCCTTCCCGCTTTCTGTTCCTTGCCACGGGCTTGGCATGTGGCCTCTAAGTTGGGCTTATGCTGCAGGCCCAAGTTATTGCCAGCTGAACTCTCGATAGGGTCTGTAGACAACTGCTTTTGTGGACTGATTTTAAAAAAACCCGCCTCTACTCTACCTCCTAATTCACTAGCTTCTGGGGACATGTCAAAACTGTCAGCTACTACTTCCATTGATTCTTCTTCACCCAGCCAGCTATAGGGAGAGCTATCCACCAGGTTGTGACCTTTCACATCACCCCCTTCTTCTTCGAATTCAAATTCCACCTCATTTCTCGGAATGGCAGTTGACCATTTATCAATTTGGCTGAAATCCCTGTTTTCTCCTTCTTCTTCTCCATCACCGGCGAGCTGTTCCAGATCAGCACCCTAGTCGTGTCCTTCAAGGTTGAGCTCCAAGTCATTGCAATTTGTCCATGATTCCTCATATTCTGAATCAGTGCTGAAATTTGGCTTGAAATCGTGCCTCATTGAGAACAAGCTATTTGCCAGCTCCTTTTTCGTGAATTTCAGATCATACATGACTCCATTCACTTTGATTCTTCGCATGACAGATATTGGATTCATGATTTGCGTGGATATTAGGAATCTAACCACGTCAAACCTTAATTTCCTGCTTGTGTTGTCATCTAAGCACATGAACTTACCCCATGTCACTGCCATTTTTTCAAAAAATTCTACCCCCAAGCATGAAAAGGGGCACCTTGGCATCTCATCCATACAAATCTTTCCTTTGCCACTGCTGTAGGTGTCCAAGGTTGAATATCTATGAACCATTGGCCTAGCCAGTCTGCCACCCCCTATACTAAGTCCCTTAGCTCCTCCTTCTCCTCACAGTCCATTAATACCAGCTTCCCCCCCATAGGACGGAGCCGACATGAAAAATAACCTTCCATGTAGAGCTTTTCTTGCAGATTGGGTATACTTTCTAAGGAACATGCTGTACCGACATAGCAACCGCGGAGCCACTCATAGTCTTCTTCCTTGATCTTGAACTCAATTCCTGACCACTCCTCGCCTCTGTTTTTCTTCCTCCAAGTTTGTCTCTGTTGAATTGATATGTTTGTCCCTTTGTTTCTACCTTCTTCAGACGCACAAGTTGGTTGTTGGTGAGTTCTATTTGTCCCTCTGCTACTTCCTTCTTTGTGCACATAAACTGGCCTTTCCTCAACTGGTTGTTCCTCAAATCTCCACGGGTTCTTTCCCTTCTGTCCTCTAACCACATCTGCATAAGTTTTTCCTTGTACAACTGAGTTTGAGTTCAAAAATCTACTGATCTTCTTAGGCTCAGTCTCCTCCACTGGGTATTTAGCTAAATTAATCCATATTTTGTGGCCTCCTATGCGAATCTTATCAAGTTGGTTCTCCATGGCCCACAGATTCTGTACATCCAGGAACCTAACAAACCCGAATCTCATCCCATTTCTGTTCCTTCTTTGAGGGCTGAAGATGGCATACACTCTACCAAATTTCCCAAAAGTCCTCCACATTTCTGAATAGCTCCAGTCGTCGAGAAAGTTGGTAAAGAAGAAAGCCATAGCCTGCTTATACAGTCCCTTGTCATATCCCCACTCTACATTCCTCTGTTGCCGTCTGCTCTGTCCGTCCTGCTTTGTGTCCTTCGTCCCCCACTGTCGCATACTAGCTCTTGGTCGGTCATACTCTCTGTTCAGTGCTTTTCGTCTTACCCATAGTTCTTGTCCAGTACCTACATCCCTGCCTCTCTCTCTCTTTTTTTCTCTCATACTCAACCTTAGATTGTCGGCTACAAAAGTCCATTAGGTTAACTGGAAGAAGGTTTGCCAAAATAAAAAGGAAGAGGGTTAGGAATCAAAGACATTAGATCTTTTAATCTATCTTTACTCAGCAAATGGTGGGGGTGATTGGTTGAGGGAAGAGAGAGTTTGTGGCTTTCAATTATTAAGGAAAAATACGATGGTGGAGATGACAATTAAGAAAACGGGGTTAAAGAGGGCAAGGGGAAAGGATCGAGTTGGTGGCGGGATGTGTGTAGATTAGATGTAGTTGACCAAAGCAAAAAAGGATGGCTAACGGAAGGGTTTCAAATTGTTATAGGTGAGGGTGGAAGTGTTAGCTTTTGGAGAGATAAGTGGAGGGAGTCTGGAGAGTTGGCTAACATGTTTCCAAGGTTATATTTGATTTCTTCGGGTAAAGACAATAGACTAAATCAAATGGGAAGTTGGGAAGAAGGAACCTAGAAGTCGAACCTCCAATGGAGATGAGAGCTTGACTCATGGGAACAAGACAAAGTTAAGGACCTAGACAACATTCTATAGAATACAAAGCTGATACAAGGAGAAAGAGATTCACGGAGGTGGAGACTCAACCCGTGTGGAAGGTATACCTCAAGCTCGGGTTACACAAGATTGGTTGGAAATGACAACACACATCAAACAAGAATCTATGAAAGGGTTTGGAATCAAATTTTCCCTCACAAAATATGTGGTTTCATTTGGCAATTAATTATTGATAGATAACCAACTAAGGCCAAGTTACTTAATAGAGGAATTTTAAAAGGAGATTAGGACATTAATTGCTCTTTGTGTGATGAATGCCTTGAAGACAACAACCACCTGTTTTTGCATTGTAAAATCTCATCTCAGGTCTGGTCATACTGATATAGATGGTGGGAAGTTAACACCGCAACAGCAAGCAATGTATGGGATGCATTTCAGCAGCATGAAGGATTGATAAAAAATGGCAAAACAAAGGTAGGATGGGAATCTGTATGATTTGCAACTGTTTGGACCATTTGGAATATCAGAAATGATAAAATCTTCAATAACAGGTCAGTTGATATTGGAAGAATTGTTGATTCTATTCAGATGAAGACTTATCAATGGTTAAGAAATAGAACAAAGGAATGGAAATTTGCAATGTCTAATTAGATTCTAAACCCAAAGGAATGTGTGAACAGTAGATGAGCAGTTTGAAGTTACGTAATACTTGCAAGTGTTTAATGTTTTCGGGTCTCTGTTGTGGGTGAGGTCAATACTTTGTAAACGGGTTCGAGTACCTCTTGTACTCAATAAATAAACATAGTATTTTGCTTTTCAAAAAAAAAAAAAATGGCCACAAGCAAAGGCAAGTACACCCAAAGTAATCCTAAATTGACTAAACTCCCTGTTTTTATCCCTAACTTTTTGGTTAAACCCCCATTTTGGTCCCTCAACTATTGTACGGACCCCCGACTTAGTCCCTCAACTCAAAAAATCCCTGACTTGGTCCCTACTGTTTACCATTTTTACCCCAATTTAGTCCTTCCGTTAAAAATCCA